ACTTTAGATTGTCTAATTTAAAGTAGTCTACTCAAAGATTCTATACTAGTTGCTATATCTAAAATTTATTTAAAAATTCTATATTTAAATTCTCTAGCTATATATTATTTTACCTATATTTATCTTTCTTTTATCTAAATTTGCCTAACTCTGTACTACTTCTATTTTTAAAAGATATTAACAGAGCTGATATATGTTTACAAACTTTATGATTTGAAGTCTAGATCTATCTCAAGTATCTCTTTACTAACTTCTTAATTGATAGATATTGTAATACTAACTATACTATACTATATTCTAATCTAGCTTGTATATATTCTTGTTCAATATTTATATAAACTCAGTTTCTACTATAGTTTTTTATTAAGTTAATCATCTGTATCTCTAGATAATATATAAGATAAAAACTTTTAAATTTAGTTAACTCAAGTTGGTATTGCTATTAGTTATCTATATTTTCAGATATCATATGAAACAGATTCAGTTGCTGCTAAGTCAAGTTAGTTTGTTATATGATCTTATATAATAGATTTACTCATATCTATTTCACTAATCTTTTTATATGCAGATTTTCTAATAAACTTACTTGCATCTAGTCTTTAATCTTTTTATATACAAATTTTTTTTCTCAAATCAAACGTTAACTAGTATAACTATTAAAATCTATACTAACTCAAGATTTCTGCTATGCAAATTCTCTACTTATAGATCCTATCAAGATTTATTCATATAATATTATATTTCTTAAGTGCTTTGTTATATTTTTAATATCTGAATAATATTAGTATAATATGATTTACAAGGTTACAACTTCTAAAAATAAACAAAGTTTACTATAAGTTAGATACAAAGGTCTAAATAATTATTTAATTCTGTTGATAGTAGGATTTGAACTCTAGATCTCTTGTATAGTGATCTGACAATTTAATTACTATATTAAGATTACCAGACCTTGATTTTATTAATCTTATCAGAAAAACTTTATATATACTCTACTTCTTATTTTTCATCTAACTTAATTTAAATATTTTTATTAGATAATTTTTATCAAATTTTTGCTACTTTTAAGAAGTTAGTTAAAAATTTTAGATATTAAACAGTTGTAAAATAATAGTTTGAATATATATACCTAGTTGATCTTTAGATCAAGAGTTCAATTTTAGCTTAAGATAAAACAATCCTAACTGATAAGTTTTAGTAATATTTCTTAAGTTATAATATCTGCTATCTTTTTATAATTATTTTTAGTAATTTTATTTTAATACTCTAAAACACTTTAAGTATTTTTTTATTTAATTAGAAATATTTTAATTTTTGATTTTATTTTGATTTTCATTTAATTTTCAATTTTTTAAAACTTGAATTTTTAGAGAAAATTTTTAAAATCTAAGGAAAAGAGCTAATTTTTCAAACAGTTTTTAAACAATTTTTAGAGCCAAAAATTTTTTTTTAATTGAACAATAGTCAAACAATTTTTGAATAATTTTTGAAACAAAAAATTATTTGAAACAGAATTTTTTTAATTTTATAATACTTAGAGATTTTAAATTTGTGAAATAAATTTTTTTAAAAGAGAGAATATATTATAGAATAGATTTTAGCATAATTTATATTTTATTATTATTAGTTATATTTATTAGTATTTTAGTAATATTTTTTATATTATATTATTTTAGTATAGATATTTTATAGTATAAAAAATTATTGTAAACATTTACCTCTAAATGAAGTTTTTCAAAAAGTATTCATAGCAAAAAATATCTTTAAGTAATTTTGTAGCCAAGAATATTAGCTACACAATAATATAAGTTATATTTAAAGTTATTATATAATATCTAGAGAAAACACAAACTGTAGCTAAAAAATACTGTATCAACTCTATGCTAAACTATGTTGAGTACTGTACCAAACTGTGCTGAATATTTTGCTAAAGATTATACTAAAACTGTACTAAATACTATGTTAATACTATGCTAGACTATGCTAAAAGATTATGCTAAACTATGCTAAACTCTGCTGAGTACTATGTCTCTTATTGTGCCAAACTATTAATAATGATACTTAACTGTTGTTTACACAAATACTTAAGTAATATTTGTATAAGACACTTATATAACATTTTGTTGACACTTATATAATACTTGTTAAAAATTATAAATATAAGTAGATTTTTTCTTTTAGTTCAATAGTAAGTTCTGTAAACTTCTCCTCTTATTCTTAAGAGTTTTAGATAAATTCTTCTCCTTCTCTTAATAATAAATAGAGTCTAAATCTGCTTCTCTATAGTTATAGAACATAACTACTCATATATTTTCTTCTAAATATATCTATTTTTAATAAATATATTGTTAACAAATAATTATAAATAAACTTCTACTCTTTAGAGATGAGTATAGTTCATTAATATAATAAGATTATATTTTCTTCTTTGATACTACTTCATAAAGTCTCTAGATAGATATGTTTCTGTTATAAATAGTATATAAGAAAACTTAAATTTTACTACTTGTAATACTATGATCTTACAAAAAAAAGATTAACTGAAATATGCTTTTCTGATTCTTTACAATTAACTAATTAATATTTTTTTAAATTAATTATCACAGATAAAATAATTAAATTGATTAGTGAATATCACAGAAATAGTACTGAATTTGAACAAATAAAACAATTTGTCATTACTTTTGAAGAGAACATATATGATTATGAATATCTAATGAAAATAAATTATATTTTAAAAGTATATAAGAAATTTTGCAAGACTGAAGGTGAGGCTTATAGGATCAAAACATTTGATCAGGAGAATAAATATCATGATACTCTCAAAAGCCTAGAAATATGTAAATTCACAGATTTGTTTTTTAAAAGATAAAAATATAAACCTGCTTTTCAAAGCTTTTGTGATAACTGTTATAGTTCCTGTAGTGAGAAGAAGTTAAATTTATATAGAGCAAATTTACGAGTTCTTGATGTAAATTTATTATTAAGAAATTAAGGGTGTTCTCAAGCATCTCAATCATAGCTAAATCAATGGACCGGAAGATCAGTTTTTAATTAGTGAAAATTATTTTTCGCTGCTTTTCACTAATTAAAAATTGATCTCCGATCCATTGATTTAGCTATGATTGAGGTGTTTGAGAACACCCTAATTATGTTATGTATTATAGGTATAATCAATAAATTACTTTATTTAGCCAGATCGTCAAGGGGCATGCTGGGTGTGCCGAATACACATTTGTTAATTTTTATAGTTTTTTTAATAGCGTTTTTCGTATCTTGGGGCCAAGAGTTCCATTTAAAATAATTTGTGTACTATTCGATTCGTCTTGATACGTAAGACGAATTGAATGGTGTTAAAATCATTCGATTCTGACCATCATATTTTAAAAAAACTTGAGTGCGCCACATTACCTCCCACGCCAGAATACCCGACCCTCCCTTATACTCGAAAAAAAATTATTAGTCTTTTACTAACTAAATATTTTTATTTTTTACACACACGAGTATATTATATAATAATTATTTTTAGATAATAAGAATATTCTTATATACTTTATATTTATTATTTTTAATTTCTTTTTAAAATAAAAAATTTTTAAAACTTTATTTTTTTATTACTTATTATTTTTTGTATAATTTAAAATTTAAAATTTTTTAACTGTTTGAGAGTATTAAGGTGGAAATGAGGACAAGACACCATAGTAAGGTGTTGTCCCCGTTTCATTAGTTGCCCGAAAGTAAGTCAAAGGTAAGGTTTAGATAAACTTTCGGATAAACTGCGACATTTCCATGCTGCGATTTTGTTTCCTCAAACCAAAAAGACTGGATGTCAGCATGGTAGGATTGAAGTTCTCCATGACCGCTAATGCTATAGTCCAACTATTTGGTTCAAGCGGGGGATACTATTAGCGCATGATGGAGGTAGAGAACGAACGCGCCGAAACAGCCTGATGATTGACCGTGGTTATGCACTCCAACACTATACCAGAGGGACCTTATTAAGGTTCATCGTTACACTATTCTCTTGAGCTGTAGAACGATCATGTTGGTGGCTAGGTCTACACCTCGCGGTGTCTACCAATATTATTGGTGGAGTTACGACTTCATTTTTTAACACTGGGGGACAGTGTTGTTACTAGCCTTAAGTCCAATATTTTTTAATTAGCCTTAGTCTTAATGGCATATGTACAAGATTAATTTGAACTTATGTTCAATCAGCCATGTCCAATTAGCCGGTCCAATTAAACATGTCCAATAACAACACTGCTGGGGGAGGCGTTACTTACTAGGATCTTTCAAAAGGCTAGTAAGTGGACCGTTAAGGATGTATCTTAAGTCGATCAAGAAAGAGACAGTTTCTAGAGGATAATCTCTTTGTAGATCACGTATTTTTACAATTCTCGGTCGAAGTTGATGTATCTTAAATGCCAATATTATATAAAGTGGTCAAACGTTATTGATTTTTGAATTTAAAAAATTGATTCGAAGCTCTATAATTATAGAGACTGAACGATTTGGTTTTGCGCAAGTTTTGTAATCTATACCATTTCTGTAATAAATCCTCTTTCCTGTAGCGGTAGCAATAAATTAACGTTAATTTTACTTTGGGCCAATCAGAATTCTTGCTGCAACTCTCCGATCACATTTAATGCTAACCAATTAAACTTAACCGCGTTTAAAAGATTGTGGCAAAGTGCAGAAGTGGATTACGAAAATTCGTATTTCATAGCCACAAGCACAAGTTGAGTGCTTTGGTCACTCTTTTTGACAATCAGTTTTCTCCTAAGCTTTAACTAGGATAGAGCAGGTTAATCGTCCATTTATTTTAATTTTTATTACATAAATTTCGATCGAAATTTTTTTTTCTCATCTATTCTATTCATTTTCTTAATAGGTAGGAAAAACATTTCAAATTTTAATATAACAAAATCAAAACATATTTTACATTAGTAATAAAATTTATTTTTATTTTGATCCAGGCTAGTTTTAAAATTTTAAAAATGGATGATCTTGATAATTTGATTTGGGGTTCGAATGCAACCAAACCTCCGACTCAGAAAAATAATAATACTCCATTAAACGCAATGCGTGGAGATTCAACCATAATTCCAGCAACAAAATCTTCGACAAGCATACCCTTGAGAAACAAAATTGCTGCTAAGCCTAGCCCATCTAACCAAAATATCTTTCGTTCCCAGGCAAACAATGCAAATTTACCCGTATTTAATAGATTTAATAAAGATGATTCTAATTCATCAACTACTCCCATATTTTTGGCTCCTGAATTAAATATTCCATCGACCAATTCTACTCTAAATAGATCTCCTTTAAGTAATTCTCCTGCTGAATCACCAAAATTATCTCCTGCAAAAAATAATACTGAAGCATTCGATAATTTACTCTCTTTTAATAAAAAATCTACCAATTTGTCCTTACTCGAACAACTTAAATTACAAGAGCAAGAACAACGTCGTAAAGCTCAAGAGGAGCATCAAAGAATTACGAAACATTATGATCAAACAAATTTTTGGGATTCATTAGAAAAAAAGGGTTCTGGTTCTTCTTCACCTTTACCACAGTTATCAGGTGATTTATTTGATGATATATTGACGACTTCATCAAGCGAATTTGGAAGTTTTGAAACGGCTCAAAATAATCCGTTGTAAGTTCACTTTTATTAAGTATGTCATTATATTATAATGTTGTCGCTGATTTTTTTTTTATTTTTTTTTCCTTTGATTTTTAGAAAGGATAAGACCCCTTTAACACGATCAATACCAGCTGGAAATAATATAAATAAATGGGATACAAATTTCTTGTCTAATAATACAACTACCTCCAAAGAAGTCAATACGGTATTTTATTTTTATTATTCTTATTAAAAATTTAATTTTTAAATTTTTAAATTGTTTATTCCATTTAGAAGTTTTCCTCAACTACAGATGATTTACTTGATTTTGGCATTTTTGATAAACCACCATCTTCAGTTTCACCAACAAAAGTTGATGAAGATAAAATAGATCCTTTAAGCATACAAGCTAAACCTATTATGAAAAATAAAAACATTATTTCGGAATCTAATTTTCAAGATCTAAATGTTAACAAAATTCCTAATGATGATTCAAAAGATCATTTAATTGCTCAAATAGTTGAAATGGGGTTTTCTGCTGCTGAAGCAGATACTGCACTTGCCGCAACCGATGGTAAAGAAGATGTTCAATCTGCTATTGAAATTCTTTTTCAACAACGTGAAGCGGAAGATCAACTTCGTAAAAGACAAGCTGATAAACGAGATACTTTTAAGACTAAACAAGATTTAGGTAGACGAAGATCTAGCTCTACATTGAGTTTTCCACGCCGGGATGATGATGGAGATGATGATAGTGAGCCAGGCTTTTCGCCTCATGGACGTTACTCATCTAAGAGTAGTCCTTTTAGTGTACCAAAACGTAATATTTACGGAAGGAATGCTTCAGATGGTGAAAGTAGTGATCGATCTTCTTCTTCAACCTCCTCAAACTTTTATCAATCAAAAGAAAAGCTTATTAGCACAGCAAGTGAATTTGGGTTAAGTGCATTAAAGAAAGCGAGTGAATTGTATAAACAGTCAAAAGATAAAGTAAACAAAGCACTTGTAGAACTTCAATTACAACATGAATTAGAAGAAGATAGTGCAAGAAGGCCAAGGTGGATGCAAGATAATGAGTTTCAAGAATCTGATGATTATTCAAGCGAAAAATATGGTGATTCTAATGGCAAACTTGGTGGAAAGTCTAGTGATAAGCGTGGGGGATTGCAAAAAATTGCCAGTAGTTGTGATAATACCAGTAGTGAAAATCTTGATGCTGTAAATTTAAATAGGTTTGGCAGTAGGCATGGTGATAAATATGGCCGATTAGAAAAATTTCATGATAGTTATGACGACGACAGTAGTAGTGATGAGGACCAACCAGTTATTGATAATTTTGTTCCAGTATCATCAAATTTTAAAAGGAGTGATGAAGGTAATCGCATGTCTAATTACGACCTCGTTGATTCAAAAAAATCGCCGAAGCCACCAAAACCTGCAGTTCCTCCGCGATTTACAAAGCCAAATATCGACTTTAATAATTCATCGTACATATCACCTGCCCGACGACGTCCCCATACGAATTCAACTCCAACAATAGTTGGAGAACCCTCTCCTCCTAAAATTGTTAAAGCACCTAGACCAACAGTTCATGTGTCTCAAGAACAAATGCGTAATTCGGAATTTCACAAAGCAAAAGGGAATGAAACATTCAAACTTGGTCAATTTGGAGAAGCCGAAAAATTTTATTCCCTCGCGATTGATTGTTTACCTTCAAAACATATACAGCTTGCTGTACTTTATAATAATAGAGCGACTGCAAAGCTCAAGAATGGTGATCAACGTGGATGTGCAGAAGATTGTACTTTGGCACTCCAATTAATTGATGATTATACATTACCGCCACCACCAGGTGTTAGTATAGACTTAAAGACTCAATACACTAAAGCACTTCTTCGTCGTGCTTCTGCTTATGAATCGATGGAAAAGTATGACAAAGCAAAAGATGATTATCAAAAATTAATGAATGTTGATCCAAATAGTAATAAAAAAGTTAGCGATGGTTTGAGGCGTTGTCAACAAGCTATTAATATGTCATCGAGTGATATTAAACCGGTACAAAATGGTTCAAATTCTTATGGATTTGATGATAACTTTACGTTCTCTAGTACACAAACATCTGCAAACATATCAACGTATCAAATGCCGTTAAATACTTTTGTTGCACCACTTAATGAATTCGGCTTTATTGATCCAACTATGGTAAAGCCAGCAACATCGATTCTAACAACTGAAACCATTATTGATCCAAATAATCCAGCTGTAGTAAAATTACGTAACCAAACACGTCAACAAGAATTTGAAGATGCAGAAAAATTGAGATGTAAAGATCAGGTTGATCAAAAAATAATGCAATGGGTGGGAGGAAAAGAAACAAATATTAGAGCATTGATTAGTAGTTTAGATATAGTGCTTTGGGAAGGATTAGGCTGGAAAACTATAGGATTACATGAATTAGTAACTCCTGCTCAAGTCAAGATTAAGTATATGAAAGCTATTGGAAAAGTTCACCCAGATAAGGTTAGTTTATAATTATTATTAAAACTTATATCAAATTAAATTAATTATAATGTTATTTAATTTTTATATAGCTTGATAGTTCTACTACAATTGAACAAAGACTTATAGCAAATGGTGTGTTTTCAGTTTTAAACGATGCTTGGGATATTTTTAAAACTCAAAATAATATATAAAAACTAGTAAGTAAAATAATATTAAATTTTATATTTTATGTTATTATTTAATATTAGTATATTTTGTTATTTTATATTATTACTTATTTTTAAATTTTGTAATTAAAAAATATAAACTATTATTTAAAGAAGTATAGAAAAGTATAGAGATTTATTGTGATTATTTTGTAATATAAATTTATTATTAGTAATTTTAATAGTTTTAAATAAAAAAAAGTAATTTAAATTAATTAATAAGTACTGTATATTGTATTAAATTTTAGATCTAGATTAAATTTATAATTTAGATTAAACTTTACACGTTTTGAAATATAAGTTTATTAATGTTTTAAGTCCAGTTTCTGTTTAAAAAATGGTTTTTAGTTACTTAAACTTCTAATAATTAAGAGAATTAAATTATATAACAGTATTCAATTATATAATATACTTTTTTAATAAATTTAATTGACAATTTTTAACTACTAATAAAGAATAATTATTAAAATAACTAGTAATAATAATCACCATCCTCACGTAATTTATAGTTACGCATTATACATTTAATCAGACATATTCGATCATTAGTAATAGAACTTATTTAAATTCTACTTTATTAAGGTTGTATTGTTTATATTACTAATACTGATTTTCTCTAATTACAATTATACTTGTATATTTTTTTTACTACTTGTTTTATTATATTCTTTTGTTGTATTCTTCTTGTTTCATTATATTAAGTTGTTTTTTGTATTATTAATACTAATTTATATCTACTTTTTATTGTATTTTTTTTCATTATATTCTCTAATATAATTATACTTCTTTTTTTATTTTAATGTTAAGTATTCTTTTTCTCTTGCTTATTATGTTTTCTTTCTTTTTGCTTGTACAGTATTTGCTTTCATAATTACTTGTTATACTTTTTTATTATATTTCTTTTTTGTGTTTTTAGTATTAAATTATTTCTTTTTGTTGTTAAAGATAATTTATATTGCTAAAAGAATTTTATTAGTATTGCAAAAAAGATTATACATTAATAATCTTTACTATTTGTAATTACATAAAGAGTATACAATAAGCTACATATATAACTTTAGTTATTGTTTATTTTAAGTAGTTTATTATTTAGACATTAGACTATCTAATTGGTTCTACACTATGCTATCATACCTATAACCTGTCTGTAAGTTACTTATTTAAACACTCTGTTCATTAATCTATACAGATCTAATCTAATATTATTACAATATCTAACTACTTTACTAGCTAGCTTATTACAAATCTATTTATCTAAAATAGCTTAGATCTTTTCAAGATATATTATATCTAATATATTATTGATATTGCAGAATTAGTTAACTTTGAAGCAAACCTATTAGAGTAGTCTATATTTATTTTACAGATTTATCTAGCTTAGACCTTTGTAGATATTTGTACAACTTTAGATTTTACTATAGTTTTTCACTAGTTAGTTGATCTAGTTTTTTTTAATATCTAGTTAGTCTTAGTTACTTTTTGTCTAAAGATCTTAAAACCTTCTACCTTTATTAGATTGAGTTTTTTTTTTGAATTAGATTTTAACTACTATAGTCCTATCAAAAAGCTATATTACTTTACTAACTCAGAATTTTTACTATGCAGGTTCTCTACTCATATATTCTATTTTTTTTTTTTTAAAACTTAGGCGATCTTGCCTATTATTTTATTAAGGAAAGCTTAACAAGAAGCTATATGATAAGATACTATAAAAAAAAATTATACTAAATTACCCTCCTAGGTACTGATCTAAACTCACTCAGCTGCCTTTAAGGTGCCTAAGTACATTTTGTTACAGTAACAATTTCTCTTATAAAAAATGTTAGACTATATGATAGCTTACTAGTTTTCTAATCTCAGGAGGACTACTACTAGCCTATATCAAGACTACTTAGTCTTTTCTTAAAAACTTTTTCTACCTATATTCTAGCAGAATAAAGAAAAAATATAGTTCTATGAAGGAGCAATATAGGAGATAAAGAAAAAAGGAGAAGAACAAAAAGATAAGAGTAACTAAAAATTTATATGAAAAAAAAAAGAAAAAATATCAAAAACAGATGAAAAAAGTAAAGAAAAAAAGACCATCGTAGTTTTGATATATACAAACAAAAAGAAAGAAAAAAAGTTGCAACAAAAGAGTATTGTATCAAAATAAAAATTATATAGTACTGTTATGCCTATAATTTTCTATTTCTTTATTTTTTTTTTATTTTATTTTTAGTTTTATTATTTGATTTAGTATTTTTATAGTATATTTGTTATAGTTTTTATTTATT